TAAATTTTTAGACTATTCAATTTTTAGATTCTTAAATATTTAGATTCTCGAATTCTTAAATTACTAAATTTTTAGATTCTTAAATATTTAGATTCTCAAATCTTTTAATTCTTAAATTTTTAGATTCTTAAATATTTAGATTCTCAAATCTTTTAATTCTTAAATTTTTAGATTCTTAAATATTTAGATTCTTGAATTATTAAATTTTTAGATTCTTGAATATTTAAACGGAGATAAAGAAGAATATTACAACTCATACACCGATCGCGACACTAATATCGTTTATTCAAACTCCGCGGCAAGCCCAGCCGTATCTAAAGGGTTAAAAGAAAGCACTCGCCAGCTGTTTCCTCCGTCGTATTGTCCATCTTCGCGAGATGGAACGACGACGAAGGAAAACGAGACTGAACGAGAGAAGACGGTGTCTGTAATTTGAAAAGATGATTCAGGACGTAACTCGCGAGCGGCCTTCTCGAGTCGAGGGTTAACGAGCCTACCTGAGAAGCGCGCGTTCAATTTCGCGACAATACAAAATCTCAGTCCTTTTCCCTCTCTCTGAAGTGAAAGAAAAGAAAGAAAAAAAACCACCACTCTTACATTTTCCCCTCTTATATTTGTTTTTTACTCTCTCTATCTCGACGAGTTCATTGTAACAAACAAAGAGAGACACGAATTAAAACCATTTGAAAGCCATCGAGAGAGATGAAGTCTCCTGCTGCGAGCAATTGGAGCTTTTTCTTTAGTCGCGAGCATGTGTTGCTCGAACAGAGGAATGACAGCCCTATTAACAGTTATTGCCGCATGAGCTGCATCGGATTTCCGTTAATTTTGCTTCGCGATCTGTATGGCATAATAGGAATACTTTGATTAACCGAAACGAACGACCAAATTATTCATCCTGATTATCATAACAGCATATATACTACTACTACTACTAATCGCAGAATCGAGTCGCGAGCTCTGTTGCCGTTCGATGAAGAACCTCTGATATTCCTAGGAAATGTCAGAATTTGCCGGAGTAAAATTTCTCGGTTCTCGAAAATGGCGAAAATGGGAGGTTAACAGAGCTCGCAGCTCAGCGAAACTCCGCAAATTTGCCGCTAATCTGAGTTCCCGTTGACGGTCCCGTCGATCGTAGAAAGCAAGGTCGCTGGGTGATCTGCGAGTATGCGAGAAGGGTTATTCGAAGTTCACCAAAGACGCGCTCGTCTTCGCCGGGGTGTCGGTCAAGGCCCTCGTAAGTACTTTTAGTGAACCTGTTGGACAACGTCAGAGATATCTAGAATTCCCTCGTTATTCGAATCGGCTCGAAGATCATTTTCTATTCGGAACTCGCGTTCGAAGATATTGTCGTTTATTCGATTCGTTTCCTGCATTTTTACCTGACTGCTGGATTCCGGAACGACGGATACTAATTCGATGGAAAAGCAATCAAGTCTGAAAGTAGGAAAATTTATTCGGGACAGTTGAGGAGTTGAGATTTTTACCATTTCTCTCTGTTTTAACTCTGCAGAAATGGTGAACGCTGAAAATTTAGGTTAGGCTAGCGCACCGACAATTTTCACGTCGAGTATTTACATCGTTCGCCGTTTCAGTCACTTTTTTCCCAATAAATTACTCGTTCCTGTACTCGATAAATTTGTAAAAAAAACGAAAGAAAATTACTATGTTTCTCTATGATTGTATGGGATTAGAATGGGTGATTCAGAGGGAATTTCCGGAGCGTGGACGCACGTGAACGATCCGCTCGAGTACGCGAATGTTCGAGAGGCAACGTTTTGCTCTTGAGTCGGGCACCGCCGCCGCCGCGAATGCTGTCTCTCCATTTAAGGGAGGGCCGGCTTTGATAATAACCTACTACTCATTTGCCCCACTTTGTGAGCCAGCAATGGCCGGGAATCGAGGTCTTGCGAGTTTTTCGCCGCGTGTATCCGTCGTTTATCGGTTATCCGGTTACGGATTTCGAGCCGGGTGACATAATTCCTCGGCATCATAGCTGCGGAATGGTGAATGCAGTGAAATCGTCTCTCGGCTACTCTTATTTCACAAACGGGTACAGTCCAGTTTGCTTCTTTCCAGTCTTTCCGCGGATTTTCATCGTGGAACCTGTTAACCCTTTAACAAAGCAGCGTATCTGAGTTGTACGAGATTGAACAAATATTCTACACAGATGTAGTAACAATACTGATACACTCTGTGTCGCGGGGAAATTTAAATGTTCACTGGATCCTTGGAACGAAGTTAAAAAAATTCAATTACGGAAAATATCGAAAGAGTTGAATTCTTGACACTGTAAGTTGTTAACTCGGTTCACTTCTCAAACAGAAATAGGATCTCTTTAGTTTGCAATTAAGAATGAGTAAAAATTAGAAAATTGCAATCCTTAGATTACGATCTCTTAATAAATAAATTATGGTATTATGGTAACGACAGTATTTCAGTATGTGCATAGAGTAGAAGAATATCTTTTTGTCGTTTAACACGTTAAGCGCCATGTCAGTCGCCGGTGACTGACAGCATACTTTTCGTTCGGGCCGCGTCAGTCGCTGTTGACTGACGATATACAATTTAAAAAATTATATTCTTCTATTGATAAATTTTAAATAATTTGAAGATCATAAAAGAACGCGCCTAAATATTACTTGTTAACAAAAAAAGATTTCAACGAGTATTATTAAAACACATGCAGCCTTATCGCGACCTTACACAGATCTCCGGCCGCCAACATATCGGTGAAATCGGAAAAACGGAAAGGAAGACAAAACAGGCTTGGCGCTTAACGTGTTAAAGAAAGTGTGTACGATAGAAATTTTGCGTGTGTACGCTGTTAAAGGGTTAATAGAGCATCTACGGTTTGGAAGGTGAATTTGCATGGATTCTAAGGAGTTCAGGGCACGTATTGGAGTCGTGTCGGAGAAAGCATCGGTTAGGTGATCGGTGCCAAAAAGAAAGGCGACTCTTGAGCCGAAGCTCAAGCCCCGGGAAACAATTCCAGCTGTCTCTGGCGTCGCCCCCTCTCGTTCTTCTTCTTCTTCGTCCTCTTTTTCTTTCTCTCTGTGGCGCGATGCAGCGGTTGCCGGAGATTCGTATCGGCCAATTGGCGAGCGCCAACCTTTTACGGTGCCCCTCTGCCAATTCGGTCACCGCTCCAACGTTCCCCCTGTTTGCTTATCAATTAACGATTCTTTCCTCGGCTGGAAATTCAGTTAACACTCTCGTCGAGTGCTATTTATTGTGTGCTTTGCGAGCGAGATCGACGAACTTAGATTTCCTGTGTACTCGTGAACAGCTAGAGTGTACACTGTCCGCCAAAAGTATGGTATCGTCGTTTTGGAACTTTCGAAAACGATTTGCGAGCATATTCCTTGGAATAGTAAAAAAGAACTCACTTTCAACCCTGGTTTATCTTTGAAAAAATCGAAAAATCCAAGTTCTTCTCCATCCGCCATTTTATCACCCTGACTCCTCCCAGAATCTTCACTTTTGCTTAGTCAAACTATACTTTCCTAATCCCGTCCAATGTGAATTTCCAGTAGAAAATTACGAGATCACTTTTCAATCAAAACTTTGACAGCCATCTTGGAAAATTTAAAAGAAATTTACAAGCATATTCCCTTCGATAACAAAAAAGAACTCATTTCTAACCTCTGTTTATCTTAGAAAATGTCACAAAACCTAAGTTCTCCTTCATCCTTCACTTTGTCATCCTGACTCCTCCCAGAATCTTCACCTTTGCTTAGTCAAACTATACTCCCCCAATCTCCCAAGAAGATTCCACGATACAAGCTTTGAACCACTACTATTAACCCCATCAAAAAAGAATCATCATGAAGAAATTATCAAATTATTTTACCACCAAAAGTTTGCTGCTGTCATTTTGAAAAAATTCCTAAAGTAAATACGTTTGAATAATAAAAAAGAATTCAATTCACAAAACCAAAGTTCTCCTCCATCCCCAACTTCCTCACTCTAACTCCTCCCAAAATCTTCACCGTTGCTTAGTCGAACTATACTTCCCCAATCTCCCAAGAAACTTCCACGATACAAACATTAAACCACTATCGCTAACCTCACCAAAACTGAATTTCCAACGAAAAATCATGGATCATTTCACCACCAACTTTTGTGCGCCAATGTATCGCTCGAAAATGCGCAAAGAAAATGTGACAAACTCTCGAGAGTGTTGGCACAAGTAATTCACCCCGTCAAGATGGCGGCCGGGGTACCATAAGCGCAACCGCTGCATCCTCGCGAGTTCGAGAATGAAGGTATCGCTTCGACCATTTACCACGACACTAACCCGCAGCCCGTGATGTTTCTTTCTTTTTGTACGGTGTGCCCTACCCGGCGGCGGGTTGCATGAAACCCTAACCGAAAAAACTCACGAAAAACCGACCTTCGGGACAGAGGGCTTCCTACTGTAGTTTGGCAAACTTAACGAGCGAGGGTAAGGACACGGATCGACCGAGGTTCGAGGTAAGCCCCGCCTTGAATGAGATAACAGATAACGAAGTTTTATCTGTGAATGCAACACCGCTTATTTTTCACTCTCCCTCTCGTCGAAAGCTTCCCTTCTCTCCGCTTGGCACGCTCTGCTTTCATTTCGTTCCGTTCGCTTTATCATGCTCGACAAATGGTCGCTGGATCTGCTTGTAATCTTTGGATTGGTACTAATTCGTGGGATCGAATCGCTGTTTCTATTCCTTGATTCGCTTGATCCTATCTCGTTCTTTTCTCATCGATTGAAACGAAAGTAAGACAGATTAGACGAGCTTTCGTTTCAACGTTTTCAGAGATTTTTGTTTTCTCCTAATCCCGATCTATTCTCCTCGAGAGTGCACCTACATACGTCAAGTGTCCCTGTTTCATCGAACACAGACTGTTCACCGTGGGCACTAGGCAGTGGATTTAGAAATTTTCTCGAATGACAAAATAACGAACAAATTGGCAAAGACACGCGCTTCTTCCATGCTCACGCTGAACAAGCTTCAGGCTAGAACCGTACACATATATACACACACGAATCGAACGAGGTTACCCTCCCTCGACGATGAAAACGGTACGGTGGGCCCTTGAGCACTTCTCGTTTGACGCGTGCACTGTTTGTGTTTGCAGAAGTCGAGCTTCAATAAATTCGACGCTCTCAGCAAGAAGACGGTGCTGCATGTGCGTTCGATCGACGCGGGCAAAGTGCAACAGCAGCTGAACGCCGTAAGCGCGCTTCTACCATCTATATTTCTCTCACTTTCTCTCTCTCTCTTTGTCTCTTTTGCTGTATATTCGAGATACTTTAAGATTGACGTACTTAACCCTTCAGCCGCGTAGAGCGTGTAAATGGCCTCTCTGTTTCGAGCTGTTCGCGCGGAATTGATCGTTCCAGTTCGGCCGTTCTCCATTCGCGAAACGGGGAGCAACAAAAGAGATGGTTGGTCGAGGAGAAACTCGCGGCTGAGGGATTAGGTCTGAAGAATTCTTTTCTACCTCCCACAATTTTTATCCATTTCAAGTTTTCAACATGTTTCTCGTTTACTTCGATCGAAACGGAAGGGAAGAGAAACTAGTCTCTGATCCTTCGGCTACAGAAGAGAAATTAACGATGAAATTCGAATAGGAAGCACTCTGTAGCCGTAGGATTAAAGGGACCGTGGAATTTCGGGTCAGAAATAATGAAATTTGACGACAGGTGGGTCAAAATGGCGATACGAATCCGAACTGCCGCAGCTGCGGCAAGGTCGTCTTCCAAATGGAACAGACAAAGGCCGAGGGTCTGGTCTGGCACAAGAATTGCTTCCGGTGCGTCCAGTGTAGCAAGCAGCTTAACGTGGACAATTACGAGAGCCACGAGAGCACGCTTTACTGTAAGCCACACTTCAAGGAACTCTTCCAACCGAAACCGGTTGAAGAGTCCGACCAGCCTGGTAAGTCGATCACACCGCAACCGTTTTACGCCACGCTCCTCTCGGCCTCTCTCTTGCTAGACGTCGTAGGCGGACATCTTCGCCTTAAAATAGCCCCTTCAGCCTCTAATCTCCGCGAATCTTTCTTTCTCACCGCTTTCTTATCGCCGCTGCGAACGAACCGCTCGAATACACCGCGTTCCTGTTTTTTTTTCTCTCTCTCTCTCTCTCTCTATTAACCCTTTCCTCGGAATCATCTGTGACGCGACACATCGAAAGATCGAAAGTTTAAGCGAACTTTTTTGTTAATTTCCCAAAGAAATTCTAACGACGACATGTACACACGATAATCGAGAACTCATCGAAGGCCATATTCCCTAACCGTTGAATGAGATAAACGCTGAGCAATATACCACGAGAACCCATTGCTCAGGCCCCCCTTTTATTATAGTCGCTGAAATTACTGCCCTTCCCCTATATCTGTCCATCCTCCCTCGTTCTTTTCCCCCTCTATATAATTACACGTAAATGCAGAGAGATCGTTAATGCGACAAAGAGATGTCTTGTGAACTCCGTAGTGCGACCTCGAAAGCCGGAGCTGATCATACGGGAGAACGAGCCGAAAGAGCTGCCGCCCGATGTGGTCAGAGGTAATAAGTCTGACGGTGGAAGTGTGAAAAATAGAAGAAATTTTCTTGACAAAAGTCGTCTTTTAGAGTGACAGTTTCTCCTAACAGCTGCCTAACAGTTTCCAGAGTGCACCCCACTTAATACCTGCTGATATCAGTATAATTCCCAATTCATCTTACCTATTTTGTTTTTTTCTTTAACAAAGTATCGATTGGTTTGTTTTCCTACCTTTTTATTTTTAATCTGTATTATAAGCAATAAGGATGCTGTGTAGTCAGATGGACAATCATCGTTGCATGACGACTTATCATGACAATTTCGAGTCCGTGTGGTGACGTGATTATGTATGACACAAGATATTCTGTCTTTCTATTTACCATCTTCCTGAAACACACCGCCTATCTCGAAGGAATCTTTTCTTTTTAAACCAGACACAACGGACACGGGATTGTCGATTTATCGACTAACTCGCGCCCAGTAAAAACCTCTTTAGAGCGAACTGAAACGATTTTATCACGGCTTTGGCTAGAAATTCCCGCCGAGTCGCGGCTGTCGGACCATTTAGAAATGCATAACCAAACAGCGTGGCATCAGTCTGTCCTACGTGAAAATCTCACGATTAAACATCTCCTATGCGAGAAGAAGCGTGGAGTTTTGAAGGGAAAAACGGTCTGATGTTCGTTTTGCAGCGTCAGACAAACCGGACCTGGGCCTCGCCGAGTTGTCGAGCCTGAACGTGAAATCACGGTTCCAAGTGTTCGAGAAGGCCGGCACTGAGACGAACGAGATCGAAAGGTCGCCGTCGCAGATCGCTGTGAAGAGGTCTCCAAGTATCCTGAGCAAGCTCGCCAAGTGAGTAATCTCACTGCTTCGTTTTCGGCCGGACTCACCTACATATTTTCTCGTCTCGTTCGATCCTGCTTGTCTCGCTTCTCTGTCTCTGTCGCCTCCTCTGGTTCACCGTCGGCCATATACGAAGGCGACGTGGGTCGTCGAGGAGATGGTTCTCAGCCGTGACACAGATTCGTTTCCACGAGACGGGCACAACGAGAACTCTGTACTCGATGTTTCTTTCCCCCTCGGAATACTCATTGTTTTGTCCGTTCAGGTCTCTTGCTTCGGCAATTTTCCCGTCGTTTATCATTTTCATCCTTCGACGAGACATCGTTGCCTATTCTGTCTAATTACACCTATTTAACCCTTTGCACTCGAAGGTGATGTAGGAAAGGTCGCGAATTGGATCTTCTTTGAAATTTTTTTTAGACTAACGTAGAAATACACTGTGCTATTTTACTTTGATGTTTAACGCGTTCTCTGTTTCACTATGGTGAATTTTTCATAGATCTGCTGTCCGTCTTGATTAATTATTAGGTTTACAAATTAATTCGTGGGTTTGCTATTTGCTGTGGGTTACAGGCAGTTGGCGAATTCCCTTTCGAAAAAATGATGGCGGTTTCGAACGTGTAAAATCAGCAATGCTATTATCGACATCCTCGTGTGTTTGGAATTTTGAATCGGTTAGATGGTGCTGAAGTGAACGAAAGGAGATAATAGTCTGATGGAGCTAAGTCTCCCATCCCAAAGACCTGTCGCTTCAAGAGCACTTTTTTTAAGTTGAAATGCAAAAAGGATACGGTGTCTAATGTGCTGTTTATCCAACGACACAGTGTTCTCCACTGTTTTTTAGGTTATGTCATTAGTCACATCGAGTCCGATAGTGTTTTGTTTTGCTAATAGAAGCAACTTCAGAGCTCTAACACAGCGGGAAAGAAGATTCAGTTCAAAGTAAAGTTACAGCTGATTAATCGCAAGGGCCACGAGTTAATTTGTACACCTATTACTTACCAAGTGACAATTGTTCAGTGTCGCTTCTCAGTCGCCGCTCGATTGCAAAGAGTTAATAGGGACTGTTGTCCTCGCAACGATCTCAGGTCACGTTACACCTAGCAGGTGTGTTAAAAATACCCTTTAAACGTTTCAATTTCGATCGAATATCAGACACACGTGAAAATATGCAGACCACCGGTGGAATAATGAATTTGC